CCAGGAGGGGCGCCGCGGCCCCCGTGTGCAGGAGCCCGGCCTGCACTGGGAATCGCCTCTCGAACCCGACGCTGGTGCCCAGTCCCGGGCTGCCTCGTGGGGCTGGCGGGTGCATCGCTGCCCCCCGCCGTGAGGACTGAGCTTGGGACAGGAGGGGGCCGCAGGCTCCCCATCCGGTTTTCAGAGCCGGGGCCCCACTCCCCCCTCCCGCCGGGCTGGGCCTCAGACTCTTCAGCTCCTTAACTGGAAGAAATGTGCGCGCGCTCCCAGCCGAATGCCCTTAATTTGCCTCATTTGTGCCTCAAGCGCAGGGTGCGTGGGCACGCCAGCGCTAAGCAGAAAGGCGCTCCGTGGTGTGGTCCCTGGCAGCCGCTGTCCTGGCAGCGGCCCCCCGCGGAGGCGGGGCGATGGGAAGGCTGCTGGCGGCGGGTGGCTCCGCCTGGAGACGGCTTTTCGTTTTTGGCTTTTAGGGTATTTTTGTTTGGCTTTGTTCTTGTGCTGTTAAGACGTGAGCCATATTTAAAAACTGGAAGATTTTAAATACAAAGATGTGTCTCGCACCGCTCTTTACAGCCTGGCGGCACGGAGCCCGCGTTCGGACGTGAGTGTTAGCGGGGGTCAGGCGGCCTCTGGGGGCCTGGGCGCACGTGGGCTGGCCCCGGCCTGGCCCTGCGGCTCTGAGTCGGGGTGCTGGAGTCAGGTCTCGCCCTGCTTCACAGGGCCGGCACGCGGGGGTCAGCGCACGTGGCATCCGTGCGGTCACACGTCCCTGCTGCCCCGCAGACAGGGCTTCCCGGAGCGCCCGCCCCGCCACGGAGCGGGGAGCCCTGAGGCTCCGCGCGGCTCAGGGGGTCGGAGCAGAGCCCCGAGATGTCTTTTGCAGGGTCACCCCACGTGGCGGAGCTGGGTGGAGAACGGGGCGCCTGGCCGTGGGCGCATCCCCGGGCCTGGGCTCTGCCCAGCCAGCGTGGATTTCTCTTGTCGCCCGGTGAACTCGCCAGACCTGGTCCGTGTCCACATCCATCGCTTGCCGGAATCCAGGCGCCGTCTTGCCACTTATCAATCAGTCCGAAAGCAGAGAAGACATCGCTTTCATGGCGCAGGCTTGACTGACCCCGTTTAAACCACAGCTCAGATTTCACTCGATGGGGAAGACAAGCCACACAGTTGATGCAGCCCTCGCTCGGGCAACTTTGGGACGTGCGAAATGCCAAGTGTGGGCCACGGGGAGGTGACAGAGACGGCTCATTTGGTGCCAGCTGGTGGCCTTGGCTGAGTCAGGTCCCGCCCCCTCCTTCCGAGCTCTCGCCTGCACGTGGCCGCTAAAGTGGAGCGTGCGGAGGCCTCGGGACCGGACCTCAGAGCTGCGGGGCTCAGCCGCTCCCGGCCCCGCCCGGCAGCCGGCGCCCCCCTGGTTCCGGTGCAGCCAGGCTCGTCTGCGCCCCATCCGCACGCAAGCGCTCCCGTGGGCTTTGCCTCTGCAGACGAGCGTGGTCCGTGAGCCCGCTCACGCGTGACACGTGCTGTGTGCCAGCATGTGGCTGCGTGTCCTGGCAGGCTGCGTCGGCCCGACATGCGGAACACGCGTGGCAGGGGACACTCTTCCTGCTCCGGGTCTCGCCTGTGGCTGGCGTGCTCAGACCACTGTGGAATGCAAGGTGCTGTCCGGGCCGGACCCTCGGGTTAGTTCCCCCGTCCGTGCTCTTTCCCGAGGGCCTAGAACAGGAAACAGCAGGTCTCGCGCCGCTCTGGTCACGCGAGCCTGGCGGGGCTGTCTGAGCGGGCGCACGGCCCGGCGCGGCCAAGGTCACCGGGCTCCGGGAGCCGCCTGGTCCCCTGAGCCTGTCTCTCCGCCCTCGTGCGAGGCAGAGCTGGCCGGATGCCCCCAGGAGTGGCCAGAGGCAGCTCACCGGGCATGCAGGGGCCGCTGCCCCCGAAAGAACCGGCCCTGGCTCCTGACCCGCAGGCCGGCACGTTTGGCCCGAGCGGCCCAGCCCAGGGGGGAGGAAGTTCAGAGGCTCCCGGGCCGGCGGGCAGCACAGGACACGGCCCTGGCCCCCGCGACAGCTCTCCCGAGGCGTCTGGCCGCTCCGGGCGGCGGCGGCCCAGAGTTATTTCAGCGGGATGTGAGCAGCGCCCCGCACCGAGCAGTGAGGCGGGCGGGGGAGACGTTCCCAGCACCGGGCGGGCAGGCAGGCCACAGCGGGCGCCCAGACTCCCTCGGAAGGATCCCTGGGACCGGCCGGGAAGGGGCGGCTGGGAGCACGTCTCCTCCGTGAGCCTGGGCCCCGGGAAGCCAGCATTCGGGGCGTCCACAAAGGGCTGCTCGTCAATGACCCTGAGTAACCCGGGGTGTGGGGGAAGAGGCAGGAAAGTGGGGAGATGTTAGCGGAGCGCGAGCACGGGGGGGTGGCGGTGGGCAGTCTCACGCACCCCAGATGCCGACCCCCCGACAGGCACCCAACCTGCCGGACGCAGCCAGGCCCAGCTGCGTGGGCCCGACCCCGGTGCCCCCCACAGCCTGGACCGTCCCCCGCCCTGCCCGGCACAGAGCCCTCCCTGCGGATGGGGCCCTGCCTTGCAAGGTGCCGCCTCCTGCCCTCGCCCTCCGTCTGCACAGGCTCAGCTGCCGGGCGGGGGCTATGGACAGCGTCTGCCGGCGTCCAGGGCCGCCGTCGAGGGGCGGCTGAGCCTCCCGGGAGCCTGGGATGCCCCCGGGACTGGCCCCTCCCGGCTGAAGGGTCCTGGCTGCAGGCAGTGGGGGGGGCTGCTGGGTGGGAGCAGGTTGGGCTGCTGCCAGCTGGTCATCAGGCTTCTCCGCCCCGTTCTCGCACAGCCCTGCAGGGGACCCTGGCAGCTGAGCAGTGGAGGGGCCTCCCTGGCCTTGGGCCGGGGAGGGCTGCAGGAGGGGTGAGAGCTCCCTGAGGTGAGGCAGGTGGGGACGGACGCCGCCCCCGCCCCCGACTGTGTGATGGCCGCTCCCCTGGGCCAGCTGCTGTGTGCGGGACGACTGTCTTCCGTTCTGCTGCGCTGACCTCCGGCTCACTAGGGCCTCCCTCCTGCAACCGCAGGGAGGAGAATGTGGCCGGCGCCCCCGCCCCCAGGAGCTTGGAAGTGCATGCCCCCCCACTGGAGCTCCCGGAGAACAGCCCGCCCAGGCCTGTGTATGCAGGGCCTGCGGAGTCCAGCCTTGGGCCCGCGGCCGCGCTGAGACAGGGTGTGCCGCCTCAGGCCACCGCGCCTGCGGCAAGGCATGCTGCAGCCACCACGGTGGTCACTGGCAAGACCCGACGCAGATGTCCCGTGCAGACCGCAAGCGTCCGCTGGGTGGTCTCGTCACTGCACTGATTCCTCACCGGCCTCCCGCCGGCCGTCGCCCACCCACTCATTCCCCCCCACCATTCCTCTTCCATCCTCTGCAGAATTAGGGTCGCGGCAGGACGTTCTCTATCTTGCAGAAATACTGACGCTTTGACCAGCGTCCAGAGTTCCGGAATCTCAGGGGCTCCTTTGTCCTTCGGATGTCCTTGGTCTGCACTGTGAGCAGGCGGTGAACTCTGAGCAGCTTTGAGGCGTCACCAGGGGTCTTAGCGTTTCAGATCCATCTGAGGAGAAATAAAGGGGTGGGTGGGGGGTGAGTGTGCGAACGTGCGTGTGTGTGCTGACCGCGGGGCACTCCCGGGCAGAGGGGAAGGACGCCTCTTGCTGTCTTCCTGCCCCCTCGGAGCTGTGAGCGGCTGCAGGTGTGATGGGGAGGGACGCGTCCTCCTGGGGCCTCTCCCCTGCCTGGCCACTGGCGGGGAGACCAGACAAAGACGTCAAATATCTATAGCGAATGTGAGACTATTTAGGTACAACTTAGCAGAACGAGTCATCCTGCAGACATAAACATTTGAATCGGAGTGACAATTTATTCAAACAATTTGACAATGCTCACACATGCCGAGCAGATGGCGGGGTGGGGGCGCAGCAGCCAGCCGGTGGGGAGGGAGGCCTGGGCGGGTTGGCCTGCCGGGCCGGGAAGCGCGAGCTGCCTGCCCCAGCCGCAGACAGGCCCCCGGGAGGCCCGGCCCCTCCTCGGAAGCCTGCCTGCACGCAGGGCCTGAGCGAGGCCCACACTGGCTGGCTGGAGGCAGGCCGGGAAGCCCCACCTATGTGGGCCCTGCCTGCCACGGGCC